GGTGAGTGATATGAGCGATGAGCTTCTAAGAATTCATTTGAAAAAGCGGATGGATTCTCCTGGTTCGGTGGTAATATGATCCTATGTGAAAGCAGAGAGGGGGTATTAGGCAACCAACTATTCTTTGCTTCCTTTAGATTCCCAGTGGGAAAAGAGGGAGAACAAGTTGGAGCTGAAGTCTGAAGGGTGGAGCTCTGTTCCTTCTCACTCACTTCAGCTCCCATTAGTCTCTCACCTTCTTCGGTTATTTTGTTAAAATCAACAACACCAGCAAACACATTCACTGAGTTTTCACTCTGGGTCTGGTACTGTGGTAAGTGTTTTATATTCATGACGTGCTTATCATTAACTTGTGCAAGCTACTTACCTTCTCTGTGCTTCGCTTTTCATATTTGTAAAGTATGGAAAATAATAGCATCTACTTATGATGATAATCATAATAAATGAAAAATACTTAGAAAGGGTCTTTGAAGTAAGTACTTAATTAATAATAGTTATTATTAACTCAACAAAAAAAATCTTTACAAGTAGTGGTTGCTACTACTTACTCCTCCATTTTACAGATAAGCAAATTGAGACTCACAAAGAGTTGAGTTAGCTTTTTTAAGATTATAAAGCTGGTAACAAACAGAATAACCACTTAAACTTCCAAATCTTGTGTTTTTTAACCTTTATGTCATGTGGGTCCTCCCCTTCTAGGTATCAAAGCTGCAGCCACACCACATTAAATGGCCCTGCTTAGTGGATCTCGATGTTGAACATACCCTGAGCTTTCAAATCTCTTTATTTGCCTTTTGCTCTTTTTATTTCCTCTGTCTGAAATCACCTTCCTCCTCCCATCTTCACAGAGTTAATTGCTTGTCTGTGTTTCTTTAACACTTATCTCACATACAGCACTTATCACGTTGTCTCATTATGTGTGTGCCAATAAAAGGTAGCATTTAAGAGGCCAGAGTCTCTTTTAAGCGCTTCACAAGGATGCATTCACTGAGTCCTCTCAATAACCTGAGGGTGTTTGTAACCTCCTTTTTATTGATGAGACATATAAGGTTAAGTAACTTGCCCAAGAACAGACATGCAGGAAATGATTATTGATTGAATGATGGGTAAGTAAAAATGCTTACTAAAATGATCAAAAAGTCTTTTTATCCGCGGGACAAAATTAACATCCTCAACTTTTTATTTTTTTCATGGTGGAGAAAACAAAATGACTTACTTCTTCACCTCATGATCTTGACTATCCATATAAGTTAAATGCTATTTTATTTTCTATTCAAAATCCCATAAACCAGGGCATGCATTACAGTATCAATTTTAATATTTGTATCAAGAATCTATTATTTTCCAAGCATAGAGGAAAAAAGGAAACTTTTTTGTCTCCAAGCCAAACTTAAAAACCTGCCTTTCTGCCCAGCCAGCATGGCTCAGTGGTTAAACACCGACTGATAAACCAGGAGGTCACAGTCCCATCCCTGGTCAGGGCATATGCCCAGGTTGTGCGCTTGATTCCCAGTGAGGTGCATGCAGGAGGCAGCTGATCAATGAGTCTCTCTCATCATTGATGTTTCTAATCTCGCTCTCCTTCTCCCTTGCTCTCTAAAATCAATAAAAAAAAATTTTAAAAAAGGAAAAAACTTGCCTTTCTAGAGATGATTTTATTGTCTAGGAGGTGGCGGGGGAGGGGTGTAGGGGCAGTGGCTGTGAGTAATTCCAAGCCTCAACCACCTGTGGGTTTTTTTTGAGGCCTTTTCCTATAATCACTCAGAGAAAAACACATTCTCTTTTCTTTCCTCCCCAGCCTTTCAAGGTTTCAGTTCTTGAATTAACTGCCTGATCTGGTGGGAGGAAATCTGGCTTTAAAATCCTTTTAATCAAAAGGGCTTGAGCAAGCTAATGGATATCATCCCTTTGGCAAAAGGAGATGATATAAAAGCTCCTTCTCAAAAAAAAAAAATCCTTATTTTCATAATTCTTTTATAAAATTAAAACCTGTTATACTATAGTATAAGAAAAAAAAAATTAGACTTCCCTCACTCCCCCCAAATATTTTCTCCATTGCTCCAGTTCTCAATATCCCTTTAACATATTTGATGGCGTTAACTGATGGCAAAAAAAAGGAATCCTATTCATTTACAAATAACATCTTCGTTTTAACCATTACATAGACTAATTAGGAACTTGTGCCCCAAAATCAAACAATTCTATCATTTCAATGCGGTTTTAAAAAAGTTTCTGAGGGGATTGGGAAAGTCACAGAACACTAGCGTGCTCTGAGTTAGAACAATAAAAATGTCAGCAATAAACTGTTATCTTAGTAGGCCCTGCAATTTCCATTCAAAACATTTGTAAGAGAATATTCACCGACATGCAACACAGACATGCAAGTGATGTATTTTCCATAGAAAAACAAACTCATAAGATTTTGGAATCATAAATAATCCTAATTCTGATAACCATCTACCTAAATTAATGTGTTTAGCCAGCATTTGAAACATTACCGTTTATCATCTTCTTTCTTTTTTTATATATGAAACTAATATAAGCTGGATCTTTTTTGTTTGTTTTACTAACAATACAGTCTACGATGCTGGTGGGATAAAGTAAAAAATGGCACAAGGTAAATTTATCTAATGGTGAATACATATAAGTGTAGATTTTTGGTTCCACTTGCAAGGGTCCTACAGTAACACCTGTTGCAACACAACTCTACTTCATGGCTGAGAAGGAATATGTCTCTACAATTATAAATATGTTTAATTGTATTTGAATTTTGCAGGCCAGACAACTTTTCAGCTAATAGGTTAGGTAATTTGGTTGTATATCTCCAATAGGGGGCAATAGAAAAGTTGAAGGAGTGGCATACTTAAATAATAAAGATATGTACCATTTCATAGGTAATTCTCATCCTTGCTTGAGCACCAGGGGAGGCCCCCTGGGAGCGGGCTTCTTAGTGCCTTCCTTTACCCAGGCATTCACAAGCTAACTTGCAGGAAGCTACAAAAATGGATGAAAAGACACCTCCAGGTTTCTTGAAGGAGCTGAAATATCTCTCATATGGAAATGGACAGTCAAGATATGGAGGAACTTGAACTCCCATTTTGTGGCTGTTGCTGTTATTTTGTGTACAGCATTAACAGCACAGGAATTTAGGACTCCAAAATACAACATGGCAACTGGTCTCCCTCTGTCCTCAGGGTCCTTGCGGAATTTTCTGCCAGTTGCTCTCTATAAATATAATCATTGTAATAATGTCTCTACTGTACCTTTTTTTTTAGTTGGACACATAATGTTTCCAGAATATCTTTTGATAACATTTCCTTTATTGTAGTATATTGGATAATGATCTTAGTAGCAACCAGGGGGCTTTATTGCTAGATTCAACCCAGTGTTGTACATTAAACTGTTTCAGATCCAATCAACTTTGGTATAAAGTAAAAATGAGGTCTAACAGAGTCCTCACTAAGTCATCGCTTCAGCTGTCCTTATATGAGCAAACTGAATAGTTATATACGTCACTGAGACATTTTATTTATTTTTCCTTATTTATATTTATATATTCTCTTTACAGATATACTATAGCAATAAAAATTCTGTTCCATTATTCCTAAGCCTATTTTTTAAGCACAAAAACCCCCAAACAAATAAAAACAATGAAAAACAAACAAAAAACAATAACAGCTTGTCTGGTTTGTCATAGCATTATTGTAAACTATTCTTCTTACAAGCTAAATATTTAGAATCCCGAATTTCTACTCTGCCACAAATTAAAATGTGATATTTATATGAAAATTCTGAATTAACCAACTACACAGGTATGTCTCTAAATGTTACTGGCTTATAAAAATAAAGAGAAAGATAATTATAATAAGCTATCAAATAATGCTTTTACAGATAATATAATTTGTTGGTGTATCAGCTTTATACTCCCTATCATTTATGCATTTCCATTTCTAAATTAATAGTGAGCAATAAAAAAAAAAACTATATTAAAGCTAGTTTTCCTAGTTTGTGCTTACTTTCCAGGTCCAAAAACTTTTTAATTGTCAAAAACTATAAAACTTATTCCAAGAAAATAACAGGCTACACAGTTAAGTTTTGGCAAATGCAACTTTATATTGAAATTCACACATCTGTATTTTAAAGAATGAGACTCACAGACTCTAATATATTTCTAAAATACCAGAAATCATATTAAAGCTTTCACAAGTTAAATCTTAAATAATTTAAATGACAAATACACTGAATGTGCAGAAAATATAAACAAGACTGTGCCCTCTGTAGAATAAACACTTCACAAACTGTGCAGGATGTCATACTAAGGCTGTGGTCTCCCCTTGACAGCTCACTTAAAATATAAACATACATCAACTGCCTGCTTCTTAGAACATACTAGAATGAGTAGCACAATTTCATTATTCCAATAATGTGCATCTTAATTTTTAAACCATGTGAGGAAAAAGAAAAGAGAGTTAATGATCTTCCATGTACTTCCAGATGCATGATCATGACCAGTTACTGATTTGATATCCCTTGACTATTTGCTCCAATACTAAGATGAAAGATATTAGATAACTCTTCAAAGCAACATGTTTATTCTGAATTATTAAAACAGCTCAATTGTACCATTAATGTTGCCTTCCAGGCCAAATAAAAGCGAATTGGGAAAATTTTGTACCAAATCAACAAAAATCAAATAATACAGTTCAATGCTAGCAATTTAACTAGTAGGTAAGGAAAGTGGTATTTAGTAATGGTAACGTATTAATTTTTAAAAAGTAGATTCTAGCTCCGACTGGTGTGGCTCAGCAGTTGAGTGTCTACCCAGGAACCAAGTGGTCAGCAGTTTGATTCCTGTTCAGAGCACATGCCTGGATTGTGGCTCAATCCTCAGTAGGGGGCGTGCAGGACACAGCCCATTAATGATGTTTCTCTCTCATCAATATTTCTACCTCTCTATCCCTCCCTCTTTCTTTCTCTCTAAAAATCAATAAACACATTTTAAAAAGTAAACTCTAATTGGAACCAATATACTGCTTTGGAATGCACCTCCAAACTTACAAGATGATTTTTTTAAATGTCACAATTCAATAATTCATGGCATATCTTTAGTGGATTATGGTACTTTAAGTCCCCAAGTATTTTAGTATTTGCAAAACAATAATAGTATGAAATGTTTTAAACTCTTCAAACTTCTAAAATTAGTTATCAACATATTTACCTCAAGTCAACTTAACTTATTAAGATGTCCAATGCTAGCTTTTTTTTGAAATGTTTTTTTCATAAGTAGTGATATACACAGCATTTAGCACTGATACTTAGCACCTGCTAATTTCATTACCTAGTTTTCAACCACATAAAGAAACTTAGGGCAGTGGTTTAGTCCTTCCTCAGTATCAAACCTCCATGGGCAGTCAGCAGGATCACTCTGAGATTTAAAATAGGATTATCGGTGAACAATTGCAAAGACTGCAGAAAGTCCCCCAAATCCCTATAACCACTAATCCCATTCTTGATTTTCTTCTCAAGATATGGCTACAGGCCACAGTTGCTTAACAGAGAAGGTCAGTGTTTCTGAAGGCTAACGATTTACAGATGCTCCTTCATATAACACAGTAAGGTTCCCTTGGTAACCTGGATTTTCTGCAGTAAAGAAGGGTTGTGCTGAAACAGCGTCTCAGCTCCCTGTTGGAGAAAATGCAGACAAAAGGATTGATTCCTGCTTGGGCAAAACTCATCCAGACAGCAGCTGTTAGAAATCCTCCCGGTACTACAGGCCCTCTTGCAAAAACTCTCCAATAGCAGGCTACCAGGTAGGGGCCCCACAAGGTTAGGAAGAGAAAAGTCATGATGTAGAACATTCTGCTGATCCTTTTTTCCATTTTGAACTCATCTAAGACCAATAGCCTTCTTCTGCTCGTGGGGTTTGCATTCTGCCTGATGCCCAGCAAGGTAGGTGGTGTGGGGCCCCTTCCAAATCCCGATAGCCAGTTGGCAGCTGCCTGGCCGCTGGCTCCGGGGCCATGAAAGGTCCAGTTCTGGCTGACCGCTGCTACAAACTGAACTGGCTTCATTTTCCTTCGATCGTGGACAAAGAATATCAGCTTGAGGTAGACAAGCTGTGTGGCGAGGAGGATGAGAGCAAGGAGCAGCATAAATCCCAAGGAATCGTTGGCCCTGAAGGAGCGGTGTTGGAAGGTGCATTGATCTTCCTCCCTAATGAATGAGTAGGTGCCCACATCTAAAACTGGGGGAAACGCCATGGCCACCGACAGAGTCCACACCATGCAGATCACAGCCAGGCACGTCCAAAAAGTCAGCCTCTTTGTATAAAAGCGATGATGGGCGATAGCTAAGTATCTGGTGACGCTGATGCAGAAGAGCATGAAAGCAGTGTGGAAACAGGACAGAACCCCCAGAAAGGCAATCACTTTGCAAGTCAGAGTCCCATACGTCCAGGTAGAGCCATTTTTGACAGAGTTGAATACAAATGGAAAGCAAATTGCAGATCTGAGGACATCAGAACAGCCAAGGTCCAACAGGAAGTAGTAAGGTGCTCTATGCAAGGTCTTATCTTTCACCAGCAAAATGGAAATCAGAAGGTTGCCCACCACACTGACTCCTATTATGAAACCCAAGGAAGTCAGTTTCAGAAAGGCTGTTAGAGGGGAGAGATTTTGCAAAATGTTGTCAGCTGCATGGCTATAGTTCGCCATAGATGGATGGAGGATAAAGATACAGCCTTAGTCAAGTCTCATGATCTAGACAGAACAAGGAAAAGACAGACCCATACATTTTACTGACAATGTAATCCACAAAGAGAATCGATCCAATCTGCTGTCATGCTTCCTCTTTTCTTCCATTTGATTTGCCATCAGAATATCTGGGGGGAAAAAAGAGCTATCAGGTATGAAGTTAACAAGCAATGATGTCAGGCAGTGCTAACATAAAGCTGTTGATTTATGGGAAATAAGTAAAGTTTTAATTTTGAATGTTATTATTTGCTTTAGTATTTTTGCTTGAGAGTTCAGACAATTGGCTTGGTTAGTTTTCCAAGCTAGATAAACTTAAAAATGTCCCTCTTTTGGAGAACATACGTTTTTGGGTTTTTTGTTTTTTTTTGGTACCTTTAGGACAAAAGGGATAATGTTCCACAATCATAAAATATGCCAGTCTAGGAATTAGTCACTAGTGTTGCAATGGAATCTACAAGATTGACAATAGAAGACAGAGAGGAGACTACATTTATTTGAGGTCTATTAGTATCTGTCAGTATTTTATAGGTAACTCCCCTGTAGATATGGATCCAAAGAACCATTGCAAAATATTTATCCTTTAACTCATGTGTCACTATTCATGCTGCATATTATGAGTGTATTTTCTGATTCTTTAGAGTATAATTTCAACATTTCTGATTCCTAAATTAATAGGAAATTAGCCCAGGATTTGATGTGATTTAATCTTTTGTTTCCCCACTCCTACCCCACCCCATTTTTGGCAAATCTTTCCTCTTTTAAGCACACACGATTATTAAAAATGGTTAATGCAAATACTGGCCAGGAAAACACACACAGAGGAATAATGGACTTCCATTTGTAAACCTTGGATGCCTGGATTCAAATAAATTTAACACGAACCTGTATTTCTTGGTCAATTAAGCCTTTCCATTTACACTGATCATCTTAGTTGCAAATCGAAAGTGGCTTCGTTAAAAAAAAAAAAATGCTCATTTTCTTCTAGATGCCTGGGAATCACACCGGGAAAATCGGCTTCCTCTGCTATTTCCACTAAGCATATTTCCTTTGCCACTTTCCACTTGCTCGGAATATGCTGACGGTAACCCAGGCAAAACTGCTTCGATGATTTTAATTTCCCCACTGGTACGTCCCCGGGTAAATACCGATCTCATCATGCAACATTACGAAACCTGAAATCCGCCACCCCTGGATTTATAATGGGGGGAGGAGGAGGAGGGGAGAGACATGCATTACATACGCGAAGATGGTGCGAGAAGATTGTTTCTGTGCTGCAAGGGAACTGTTTCCGGCGGCTCGCAGGCTGATCGTCCTCAGTCTTGCAACGCTTTCCAAAAATGGAGCTTTGAATAAGCCCGACTGAAGATGCATTGTCCGAATGTACTTCCATTATGTAGTTTATTGTAAAAAAAAAAAACACAAAACAAAACAAAAAAAAAACCCACCTGGGGGGGAGGGGGAGCGCTTTCCTGGCGAACCTGCGGTTTCATCGACAATGTGAGCCCTCCTCCCCACAAACTTAACCGCGAGGCTGGCCTCCTACCTGTTGGTGCTGGGCATCCCGACAGACTATAGCTTCTTCTTTCTATAAATTGCTGATTATTTTTTATTTTTTATTTTTTTTTTGGCCTTAGTGCTTTGACTGAGCATCCAGGCAGGGCTCGGCGGCGCCTGCGCGCTGGCAGCGCCCAGAGGCCACCTGGTCCGGGGCGCCCGCCCCTCCTCTTCCCGGACCCTCGCCTTCCGCGAACCTTTCCCTCCTTCCTCTTTAGAGGGGTCCCCAGCTGCGCCGCTGACCTTGGGATTTGCAAGTTAATGGGTGGGGAGGGGGCTGGGGGAGAGCAATAAATCTACAAAAAATGTAAACGACTACTCCTCGCCTTTCACCCTCAGGAGTAGCAGACTCGTTTCCTTCTTGCAAGTGCGATTTACCAATAGGTTGGTCATGTCAAAGCACTTGGTGTGTGTTTCCCTTTGTTATTACTGAAGAAAAATACCAGGAATACATAAAACTTCCACCCGTCCAAAAGGCGCAAGGATACCACAGCACACCACATGGCCTGACACCGGGGCGCTTTAGGGATGCCTCAGAGAATCATGCATTTCCTTATGTTGCCATTTCGGAAGAATTTTGTTGGTGGGGTAATAAGAGATTTTAAACAACTCCCCACTTCCAAAAAAAACTAGCAGACTTGCTTTCATTCATTCCCAATGTAAAACGTCTGCTTCTCACCCATGCTTTATTGCTTTGTAATAATCTGTTAATGAAACCGAAAAAAAATAAAGATCTTTACAGTAATAAATTGATGTCCGAACAGCAATAAAATACCTCATTGTTGGGTGGTGAGAATGTGACGTCAGGGAAACTGAAGCCAATCAACATACAGATAACATGGGTTAATTTACATATTGTATTTCTATTGGCTGTACCAAGATAAAGCTTTTCCTGTTTAAAGCTTAAAAATATATACTTCACTGTCATGATGTCATACTCATTACACAAAGCCCTATGTTGGTAATACTGAAATGATTACATTTTCCTAATTTGTTTTTGCATGTCCTAAATCCATTTAAAAAAAGATAATGATCTTTTTAAAAATATAAAGCACCTAACTCTGGCATTCCTTTAATCTACAAGAATCAATCCTGCAGTAGTACTGGAGTAACTTGAGAAAATTTCCATTCAAGTGAAACACTCCACTTCTTTTGCAAAACAAATTCAAAAGAAATCAAAACCATATGATGGCTTACAATTTCTATGTGAAATGTCAAATTACTTTGTTTTAATCCTCACATGAAGATATGTTTTTAACGATTTTAGGGAGAGGAAGGGAGAGAGAGAAAAACATCAATGTGAGAGAGAAACATCGATTGGTTACCTACTGTTCACAGCCTGACTGGGCATGAAACATCTTTGGTGTAGGGACAGGGCTTCAACCAGGGGAGCCACCTAGCCAGGGCTCAGATTCATTTTTATGGAACTAAAAATACATTCAATTTGTGTTGTTTTCTTTTACTTTCCAATTAGTGCCTCAATGTACTTTGCAAAGAGTTATTTCCTGAGGTTTTTATTTTAATTCTCATCCAAAGGCCTATATATTGATTTTAGAGAGAGAGGAAGGGAGAGAGAAAGAGAGTGAGAGAGAGTTGTGAAACATCAATTGGATGCACCCCACCCAGGGATTGAGCCCAAAACCTAGGCATCTGTCCTGACCAGGAATTGAACCAGCCACCCTTCAGTGCATGGAAAGATATTCGAACCAACTGAGCCACGAGGCCAGGGCATGAGTTTTTACAGTTCAAAAATCCATAGAATAAAAACAAACACAAAGAAATTCTGAATATTCACGATTGGCCTAATCCTTGCATGGATTAAGGAAAGATTATTTAAAAGTAAATTAAAAAGGTGACAGCCCTGTCAGGCCATGAAGCAATAATTTATTCTGCCAAGATGTTCCAACCAACTGAGCCATGAGGCCAGGGCCTGAGTTTTTACAGTTCAAAAATCCATAGAATAAAAACAAACACAAAGAAATTCTGAATATTCACGATTGGCCTAATCCTTGCATGGATTAAGGAAAGATTATTTAAAAGTAAATTAAAAAGGTGACAGCCCTGTCAGGCCATGAAGCAATAATTTATTCTGCCAAAAGGTATAGGACCAAGGGTTTATATATACTTTAAGAAACAGGTATTGCTTCCTTAAAAATAAAGGAAAGGATATGTGTGTATGCAATATCTTTCATATCTACAGCTCAGGGTATATTAAGACTATAATTTTCCTTTGCAAATGAGTACAGTTACATCTACTAGTTACTCAGTTTCTCCAGCTATTAGATGAGAATGGCCTTTTTTTTTTTCCTCACTAGGGGGTTCAGGAAAATAATGAGATAGTTTCCAGATAGTTCATTAACTCTATTGGAGAAAATATTAAAGTCTACACCTTCCACCAACAGGGGTTTTAAAAAATGGACTTAATAACTAACAAAAATTTCGTATCATCTACTAGTACTCAAATGTAAAGTTATTGGTTTAAAGTGCTCAAATCATAACCTTGTTTGATCTTAGCTAATTTCCTTTTTATTCCTTGTATCATCAAACCTAGAAAATTTATGTTGAGACTAAGCAAACAACAGCAAAATATTAAATCCACCCTGGGTTTGAAGGATTCTAAAGGTTTTCAAGTTCTGGGCATATTACATTTACTACATTGATCATTGGATTAGGAAATCTGATATAATTTGCTTAATTTGGTTCTTATAATAATATATATAATTTTATTTAAAACAGCAATTATCTTCTTTTCAAAATTAGTAGGACATTTCAGATTTTTGCCAAGTGATGCACAATTTCTTGAAGGTCAAATGCAATATTTCGGTTCTATGCATTGTTTATGTGAAAATGAGTGTCAGGTTGTAAATAATTTTGGCAAATACACAGATTGATGGTCTAGAATAAAACGTTCTAAGAAAATATTTTTTAATCATTTATTTAAAGTGCCATCTCTCTCACTTAAAACTTGTCATTAAATCTTTAAAAACATGTGTCTTTGGTATTCTCAATTCTTACTAAAATCTAAAACTATGTGAAAAAGAAACTTGAACATTTTCTGAAAGCTATCTTACTAAGGAAGGCTCCCCATTGGGGACTTGTTCAGAAAAACATTTTAATTTTTATCAAATTTATTGGGTAACATTGGCCGATTAGTGTAAATGTACCACAGCTTCTTCATCCACTCATTTACTGATGGGCACTTGGGCAACTTTCAAATTTTGGCTATTGTAAATAATGCTGCAGTGAACATAGGGGTGCATATATTCTTTTGTATTAGTGCTTTGGATTTCTTCGGATAAATTCCCAGAAGTGAAATTGCTGGGCCATCCGCAGTTCTATTTTTAATTTTTTGAGGAAATTCCATACTGTTTTCCACATTGCCTGCACCAATCTGCATTCCTAAGAACAATGCACAAAGGTTCCCATTTTAACCTGATCTTTGCCAACACTTGTTATTTGTTAATTTGTTGATGATAGCCATTCAGACAAGTGTGGGGGATGATATCTCACTGTGGTTTTACTTTGCATTTCTTTGATAGTTAGGGTCTTTGAGAATTTTTTCATATGTCTATTGGCCAGTTGTATGTTCTCTTTGGAGAAATGTCTATTCTGATGCAAATATAAAATTGGATTGTTGTTGTTGTTGTTGTTGTTGTGTGTATGTGTGTGAGTTATATGTTTTTATAAATTTTGGATATTAACCCCTAATCAGATGTCTCATTGGCAAATATGTTCTCCCATTTGGTGGGTTGCCTTTTCATTTTGTTGATGGTTTCCTTTGCTGTGCAAAAGCCTTTTAGTTTGCTGTAGTGCCATTTGTTTATTTTTTCTTTTGTTTCCTTTGCGCTAAGAGACATATCAGAATAAAATATTGCTACGAGAACTGTCCGAGATGTTACTGCCTATGTGTTCTAGAAGTTTTATGATTTCGAGACTTACATTTAAGTCTTTAATCCAGTTTGAATTTATTTTCGTGTATGGTGTAAGAGGGTGGTCTTTCTTTCTTTCTCTCTTTCTTTCTTTTTCTTTATTCTCTTTCTTTTTTGCATGCATCTGTTCAATTTTCTCAATAATATTTGCTGAATAGACTCTTTTTACCCCATTGTATGCTCTTGTCTCCTTTGTCAAATATTAATTGACCAAAAAGTTGTGGGTTTATTTTTGGGCTTCCTATTCTGTCCCATTGATCTATATGTCTGTTTTTATGCCAGCACCATGCTATTTGATTATTATGGTCTATTTGATTATTATGGCTAGTTTGACATCAGGTAGCACGATCCCTCCAACTTTTTTCTTTCTTGAGATCACTGTGGCTTTTTAGGGCCTTTTGTGGTTCCAAATACATTTTTGAAGTATTTTTTTCTAGTTCTGTGAAATATGCCATTGTAGCTTGATAGGAATTGCATTGAATCTATAGATTGCTTGGGTAGTATGGACATTTTAACAATGTGAATTCTTCCCATCCACAAACACAGTCTATGCTTACACATATCTGTATCTTCCTCCATGTCTTTCTTCAGTGTCTTATAATTTTCCAACTACAGGTCTCTTACATCCTTGGTTAAATTCACTCCAAGGTATTTTTTGATGCAATTCCAAATGGGGTTGTTTTCTTAGTTTCTCTCTCTGATAGTTCATTCTTAGTGTATAAAAATGCCACAAATTGCTGGATATTTGTTTTGCTTCCTGCTACTTCACTGAATTAATTTATCATTTTTAGTGGATTTTTGGTGAAACCTTTAGGGTTCTCTATGCACAGTATCATGTCATCTGCAAATAGTGACAATTTTACCTCTTCTTTTCAAATTTGGATGCCTTTTATTTCTTCTTGTCTGACCTCTGTTGCTAGGATTTCCATTACTACGTTGAATAAGAGTGGTGAGAGTGGACATTCCTTTCTTGTTCCCGATCTTAGAGGAAACACTTTTAGTTTTTACCCACTGACTATGATGTTGGCTGTGGGTTTTTGCTACATGGCCTTTATTATATTGAGGTATGTTCCTTCTACAGTATTCCCACGTTGCTGATATTCTTATTATAAATGGGTGCTGGCTCTTAGTAAATGCTTTTCCTACACCTATTGATATGATCATGTGATTTTTTAAACCTTTTATATTGTTTATGTGGTGTA